TTTTGGTGTATTTTGTGGCGGAAGTACAGCGCTACTTACAGGCCCGGCATATGTACTACAGCGTCTCCAGCGGTTTTGAGCGGTTTCGTTTGGACGGACACATTTCTTGAGCCGATTCCGTGTGGACGGAAGACTTTTTTGAAATCGACTTCGGGTTCGAAATCGGTTTCGTCTCCGTGTGGACGGGGCCTCAGAGATAGGCGTGGTTTTGTTATATTTATTTATTTTGTTTAGCACAATCTCCTTTGTCTCCTCCTCACTTAAAGAACATTTGTTGGCAGTATTCTTTGATTTAAAGGAATAAACATTTTTGTTAGCGTTCACTCTGACTCCCTTGGTTATTGGTTGTTGTGTGTTACTGTTTCCAGGTCCCATAGACCTTAGTGGGGACGTAACACAGATTTTAAAGTACATTTCCCAAACTTTAGAAGGCATATTATCTGGGTTACAGAGCAACCAGAGGTTTAGAACAGATGTATCATGCATTTAAACAATTTTCTTAATATGAATGTATGACTACAGACTTGATTAATATAGTGTCGACCATCCTTCGCTCTATGCAGACTGACTGACATTTTAAAACAGCATTTTGTGGGATAGGTTAAAGGTGGGCGCTGAATCTATTTCTAACTGTAATGATCAAAGCTATTCAATCAGGAGAGACGTGTTTTGATGTACCAATATATATTTATGGCAAGAATACCGAGATGAAGGTAATGGTGTTTGGAAATGAGACCCTGTTGGCCAGGAGTATCATTCGGGAGGGGAATACCGAGCTGATGATAAAGATGTAACAAGTCAACTTCCTGCTTTGAAAGAATGAGACTTAAAGCGGTGTAGAGTTTTAAATTACCCAGTGTTGGTAAGTCTTTCCAATGAAAGTAGCTTTGTTAGCTTTAAGTAGATAGATAGATAGATGGATGGATGGATAGATCAATATATACTTTATTAATCCCATAAGTATATACACATAAGCCAAAGGTACTGCAAAAAGGCAGTATGTGCCCTAGGACTGTTATACTATTACATTTAATTTGATTAGTATAAACCTAATGGAGGATTTGATATATGGTTAGTTGAGGGGGTGCTTACTAAACTAAAATTAAACTTGTATTGGGCTGCAACAAATAATAATTTTCACTATGATTATTATGCTGGTTTTCTCTATTTAGATGTTTACACATTAATCAAAAATGATTACATATTATCATTTTACACCTTGAAGGAAGATTAAAAATGTATATGTCACGGCCCCACCTGTGTCCCTGATTCCTAGTGTTTTCCCCAGTCTCCCTTTTCCTTGTGTGTCCCTGTTTGTTCCCGTATGTGTGTGCATGTGCGTGCGTGTGTGGTTTCCCTTGCAGGCAGTAGCCTGATTGCACTCACCTGGTCTGCCCTACTCAGCCGTCTCTCATCAATCATGACACAGCACATCTGCTCCAGTCCCCCAGCAACTCACTGCAGATTGTTTTCTACACCAGTGGTACTGCATCCTCCTGGCTGCTCAGTTGAGTTATCTTGTCTGAGTGTTTTTCTGTACTTTATCTAACAAGTTTCTCCTTGTGCTTCCAGTGCGATCCCTCAGCCATCAACCACCAGACCCTCCAGCCAACCTGCCTGCTTCTCCCTTCCCCATACCTGCCTGCCTTGTTCCGTGCTCAGCCTGACCTGCCTGCCTCCCCTTCCATACCTCCATAGTCCCGCCATCTCCAACCCTGCCTGAGTCTCTGAACAATAAATCGGTTAAACATCTTGAGTCATTGTCTGTGACTGGGTCCAGTTTAAAACACAATCCTAACAGTATATGATGACAATTATTAGTTCATCCCTTACTACTCTGCTGCCCTTTCTTTCTCTTTTTAAATATATAATCCCTAAGATTTTCATGACAGATTTTTGATACTTATACTACTTCTTATAATACTTATTGAACAGGTGTTTGTTTGGCTGCAGGACATTTTGAGGTAATGAAGCTAAATTCAGTCAGGAAGAGTACCTGCTATTACTGAAAAATGACAGATTATTTTCTAAAAAGACCAATTGAAATCAGCAGAGCGATAACATTGCATTGCTTTACTTATGGATTTAGTGCCGTAGAAATGCACATTATATGGAACTAGAAAATGCATTTCCTGCAGAAAATGCGTGCGAATGCTGTAAACTGTGTACATTTGTTGCTGAATTTAGCTGAAAATGCAGAAAAAGCTGAATATGTTATTAGCTGAATGGTCTCTGTAGCTGCTTTTAGCTACAGAGACCAAGTAAGTGTGTTGCTGAACTTGGTGGAGAAACGCAGAAAAGTGAAATGATTTGAATCAAAATTGTTACAGCTCAAATGCATTGCAATGACTTTGTTGAAAACTTGAAAGTGAAATGTTAAACTGGAAGAGTAGGAAAAATAGTGAAGAAGCTTAATATTTAAAAGAAAAGGTATAAACAACTAAATGTATAACCTCAATGTCCTGAAATAGTTGAATGGTTTATAGCTGAAAGTAGGCTGAAGGAGTTAAATATTAAATGTAAGTAGTAGTGAAAGAATGTGTAGTAAAGAGAAAAAGTAAAAACGCTTTGAAAAGCATCAGAATATTTTAACTGCAAACTTTTCGACTAAAACCAAACGTCACCAATAATGTATAAAATATGTGGAACGTGTTGAAGTCAGTATGAAGTCTCCATCAGACAGAAAATAATAGGCTGAGACAGTCTGTGTTTGAGGTGACGTTATCAAACACCTGTGTGTGTAAGACCAGAGATCAAAGATTACCATGGTAACGACATTATCAAACACCTGTGTACGTGAGCCCAGAGATCAAAGGTTTCCATGGAGATGTGCTGTGAAAGGAGAGCCTTTCCATTGTTCTGAATGAGAAATAAACCTCTTACATTTCTAACTATAGTTTAAAAACGGTAGCTGCTTTCGGTAGAATGTCAACGCGTGGAGGATGTCAGGACCGTGAGGAGCGTCGGAGTCTGCTTTTTAAACGGCTCGTTGTAGCTCCAATAGCTCCAGCCCCCACCCTCCCTGTGAGCACAGTGTGCTCTGATTGGTCGGGACGTTGTGAATCGCGCTGAGCTCCGTGGAGGTGTGGTTTCCTTGTTTATCTATAGCGATACACAGCGAAACACAGCCAAACTCATCCTGAGCACACACAAACTCACAACCGAAGTAAAAACAATAAGTGTGGCTTGATATTGAGTAAGAAAAAGGTTGATAAACGCTGTGAGAATGGGTCTGCAGAGAGAATTTCGCCACGATCCCAACTGTCTGTTATCAGCCTGCAGCCAGGGAGGAGAAATCAGCAGAGCTGCCTGCACTGAGTGTGTGTGTGTGTGAGGAAGTCCGTCAATCAGCGGGGGCTTAACGTAACGGTTCCGCGGACGTAACGTAACGGCTCCACGGATTGGTCCATTTGGTTCCGGGTACCGCATGACCATATCGCGTCATAGCTCTGGGCGTGGCTACTGGGTATCCACACGTCACAATGCCCAGGAAGAACATGAGAAAGTTCCAACGAGGCGTTTTGGGGAGGTATTTTCTGTGTTAGAGTTTTACTCCCTACAGGGTGTACTTTGAGGGTTTTTGACTCTGCAGACCGTTTACATGCATAAAAACCTTCATAACACACAAGGGGGCGGGTAATAACCGGAAAAGCATGACACCTCTCCTTTAACGAGCGGCGCAATACACACTAATGTTAAAATCTGAAGAAAGCTTCTTTACCAAGCTCCAAACTAAGTTAAATATCTCAAAAATCTGAAGTTTTATAGCTGAAGGTCTTGTGACCGTTTCAAAGTTGGAATGAAGTCTCTAGCTGAAAGTATGTGGAAGGAGTAGCATTTGGCACACGGTGTAGGTAAAAGAGGATTTGAAGGTTCCTCCCATTGAGTTACATGTTAAAAAAATAGTTTAAAAAGCTGAATATTTCAAAAAGTATAAATGTCAAAATCAAGAAAAGTCATAGCACACATGTCCTGAAGGAGCTGAACATTTTAATATTTGAATGGTTTCTGTAGCTGAAAGTATGTGGAAGGAGTAGCATTTGGCGCACGGTGTAGTTAAAAGAGGATTTGAAGGTTCCTCCCATTGAGTTACATGTTTAAAAAATAGTTTAAAAAGCTGAATATTTCAAAAAGTATAACATATTTTGAAAAAGTTGAAAGTTTCCCATCATGTGCTGAAAAGGCTGAATATTTGGATATTTGGATGGTTTCTGTAGCTGAAAGTAGGCTGAAGTTATTCGACGGCAAAATATTGGTTGAAATAATACGAAGAAGAAGATGATTAAAGAAACAGAAGAACTATAGTGGAGTGCTGCTGCACAGCATTCACACTAAATATCAAGACACCTGGTAAAAGTGGAAGAATGCTTCTAACTAAAATATTATATGTATTTGACTTAGAGGCCTTTTTTAAAATTATAATACAGTATGTGGTATATTTATAAAACCGTAACTAAAAAATAAAGTCCTTTCCCTAATGTTGCCTCTCTTGCAGGAGGAAATGTACCATAATCTACATTTACACAAGTGTTTGTGAAAGCAGTAGTCAGATGGCGCTGATCACAGCCTTGACTGGACCAGTTTCCTCTCATGAGTGATGGGCTGTGAATACACTGCGTACACCGGAGCTTTTGACCTGAGACTGAAAATCTCCTTCCGAAAACGCTGCAACTAAAAGGTTTCTCTCCTGTGTGGCCCCTCATGTGCCTCTTTCCTGTTTCAATGTACCTTTTCCCACAGATTGAGCAGCCAAATGGTTTCTCTCCTGTATGAATTCTCATATGTGCAATTAGTGGGAAAATGTCTTTGCTCAAACAGGACAGCTGTAGGGTTTTCATTCTTGCTGAATATTTGACCACAAATAGTGCAACTAAATGGTTTCTCCCCAGTGTGGACCTTAATGGTTCCAGGTGTCTATTTGTGTTGGGGCCATATACATAATTGAAGCAGGGAATCATACTTTACTCTGTACAAATATTATAGAAATACAATATGTATTCAGACTTTACATGGAAACTCACATTTCGATCCTCCTCTCCACATTTTATTACAGGAGAGGCATCATCTTCACTCTCATTACAAGATGATGTTTTATAGGCAACATTAAAGCAATCAACATAGTTATACATTTCTGATGATTAAAATATTTTATTCTTTAATGTAGGCTAAAAATGCAAAGCTACATTGGAAGGAAAAACATAAAATATATATTAAGAATAGAAAACGTATACAAAGCAAACTTTAAACCTTGGTAATGCAATGAATTGAAAACTATAAAAAATGAAATGCAATAATGAGACATGTTTCAACCATATGTCATGCTTCTGTGACCCTGCTTTGACACTGCCGACATGTTTTTATGACATTTGCAGTGGGTATGTGTGAAGCCTAATAAGGAGCAAAATAATATATGTATGTAGAGTTATGGAACCTTCCTTTCGCTCAAATGTGTAAATGTTTCTTTTACCCAAACCTCATAAACTCGTTGTAAATGGCTTTTTATTGATATGTGGAACATTGACATTTTAATTTCCAAGATTGAAATAACAGATGTCTTTGTTCATACCTAAAATACGCTTTGCCTGTCTTTAACATGTGACATACTTTTTGCGTCGGTATACCCAGGTCCAGACCTTAAAACATAACAAACTTTAGGGTTTTCAGTCAGAGGCATATTTATCTGGGATAAGCAGGTGGTAATCTGCAGTATATTGGGCACACACATGATGAGTAGGACTAGCACCAATGCTTCAAACCTGTTATATTTTTAATCAGCTTTACCTTTCTGTATCCAATAGTTGCCTCTTGCTAAGATGAATACACAACTGCAGTTGCAAATGTCTTCTTTTTAATAAAAATCCCAAGTTCAGCAATAGAAATCAATTTGTCTGGATTTCTTTTATTGGCACTTTGTGCAAACTAGTAGCTGGGCTTTAGTCTTGGTAAATACTCAATAATAATCATTTGCATTTATGTTTTGTTGTACATGGGCATAAAGTATATGCAGATTTATAGATTTATGTACACTTTGCAAATCTGAGCATGCATTATTCTCATACGTATTCTCAAAAATGCATTTAAGTTTCCTGTACTAATTAAAAAAGTATCAGTTTATTTTACAAATCTAAGTGCACACACTAATTGAGAGCCACATATTAACCCCCTCCCCCAATCAATTCACATCTCATCACCCAACTGCTCTCCCAGTTGTTGGAATGTACTGAAAAAGGATAAAACATATAGTTAGGTAGCCTGAGCTAGTAGGCTATTAGCAATTCCTGCCAGCCAAGCTCTGCTAATGAAGAGCGAAGGATGAATCATTTCATTTCAAACCTTTATTTAACCAGATTGTCCCTTGAGATCATAGATCTCTTTTTCAAGGGAGACCTGCACAATGTCTCCAGCATCAGAGGCTCCCAGTGCTGTTGTGCGGCCCGGAGCGGGGGTGCACTGTGGTGCTGTAGTTGTTGTTGTTGCTGTTGCTGCTGTTGGACTTCCCCCCCCCGGACACCCTGCTGTCAAGGTTACGGCTCTTGCTGTGCTCTTCCCTCATGAAGAGCTCTACTAGTAGAATCTTCTCTTTGTGGATCTGCATGCTGATGTCTTTTGGGATGTCTGGAATCAGCCAGTCCACAACGTCGCTCATCAGCATCACAACGTTCTGGAAGCGAACATGGAAGAAAACTCTTTATCCTGTGTATTCTGGGAAAACTTAAAGGAATTCTTGGTCATCTCACCTTCCTGCCCTGGGTGATGATTAAGGCAACCCATCATTTATTGTATCCATCTTCACAATATTGTAACAGGCAAGTCGTTTCTATAAGATAATCTTCTTACAGATGTGTTGATAATATCAAATATGTCATTTGTTATCAACTTAGAGAGAGAGAAAATGTTTTTCTTAGTAAATGGAAGAAATGGAGGATTTATGCCACAGCAGCAAATACTGATATAATTTTCCAAGAGGCTATAAGACTTTTGACTGGCCATTTGTCACCATGGTTACTGCATTTTAGTTTTTAGTTTATTTGTTTTATTAAGTGTTTTTTTTCATCAGTTTTTTTATTTAATTTGTATTGCTCTGTTCTAGCCTAAACAAAGTTGCAAGTTACTTGTTGAATGTAAAAACGAAATCTTTGTAAATATAAAAGTAACAAAAATGTGGGATAAAACACTTGTAACACAAACTTTAAGAACTAAGAGAGGTTTATTTGTATTATTATTACACGCTTATTTTGGACCGTAAGAGGTCTGGTATTTCTTGATAGCAGAACACTGCACAGGTATAACAGACCATTGGTAAGGCTTATGAAACTTTCTTAATAATCTATTTCCTACTTTCTTTATGTTTCACCTTACCTGGAAAATAATGACAAATGCCAGTCGCACCGCCAGTACTGTCCAGAATTCCTTTGAGATCTCGTATGGTGTGACTGACCAAGGCGGTTCTCTGTAGTCCTTATACCTTTAGAGACACAAACACATCTTTTGTTTGGTCTTCAACACAACAAACATTCTTACTATAAATATTATCCACTTAAGCGTGACCCTGAGCTCAACAGAACTTCATCAACTTTATTTAATATTGAAATCTCCTGAAGACAATAGATGTCTCAACCTTGGTAGCATTTGATTAATTATATGAAGTAACACATTTCAAATGACAGTGGTATATTGATGTTGATTGTTTTGTCATGAGATTGACCATTGTGAACTGAGTTTGATTTCCCACCTGCACATCTCAACGTGGTAGCCAAGGTGCAGAGGATCCATTGGTTCTTTGCCTTCCTGGAAATGGCTGACATTAAAGTAGGACAGCGTATGGTTGACAAATCCATGCATGGAGCCATCAGGGCTGTACATGTACTGGTAGACCATCCGAGGGATGAAGTCTGACGTGAAGGAGATGACAAATGCCTAGGAGTTGTGATTTGGGAGGTGGAGGGAGGGGAGGGGGTTCAGAGGTTATGGACATACATGGGAGTTAGAATGTGAAAACAAGACGGCGTGGAATTTATCAACATGCAGTGTCAAGCTGAAATGAAACAATCCATTGGACTGTAGTAGTTGAGTTGAAGATGTTTCATCACTCATGCAAGAGGCTTCTTCACATTCTCTACCCTAAACACAGCTCACAACAAGCAGTCATTTACCTTTTTCTGTCTCCGTTATCCATATAAACTTTCATTTCTTAGATCACAAATTTGACATTGCTGTGTTTAAAACGTACTTTTGAAAAATAAATAGAGCTACCTTAAATTAATAAAGTGTGGATTAATCTTTGAAAAGTTGTGTGATGATATGTCTGTATTAGTTTATCTTTTGAATGGTGGTTAGACTGGGGTGTGGTTTAGGGAGGTGGGGGTCAGAACTGGCTGACTTGTTAGCGGTTATGAATGGCACCTGTGTGAGACACTTTTTTTGGAGGACTTTGGGAGCTGGATTGGCCTGCCTGACACCGGAGGCAGGACATCTTAGGAGACAACATTATGCCCACCTTTTAACCTGAACAACTACATCGAAGACCGGGCTGGACTGACAAATCTGCATCCAAGTGTTGTGCAGAAGAGTCGCTCGCACCCTGGGTTTTTTCTCAACAGAACGTTGAACTACAGATAAAAGTCTATGTTATACCAGTTCCTCATTGTGCAATGTCACATACATTATGTACATCATCAGCTTTTGCTAAATCTATTACCATTGCACTTGTAGTTTGCTTTTTTTTTTTTCTTTTACTTTAATTATTTTTATATTTTATTTTTTCTATTACATCATAACTTAGTACTTTTTTCTTAACATAGGTAACAATAAGCTGTCTGTGGCTCCTTCCTGCTGTAACGATGCAAATGTCCCCTCTGTGGGACTAATAAAGGTATTCTGATTCTGATTCTGATTCTTATATCACCAACACTAACTTTTCAGATTAAATTAAGTGTTGCTAGCAGGACTTTCTTTCGTGTTTTTAAAAGAAAAGTTAAAGTTAGCAGCCTGTAGTAGATTAATGTTGGCTAGCTGATAGTACTTGCTAGCATTAGCGATATTTTCTCTCGAAATTCAGAGTTTGACATTGTTTAACCATCTTATTGTTTTATTTCTTACACAAGGAATACAAGGAATATTCACAGAAGCAATAGGCCTGAGAATGTTGAATGCTTTTTTAAGTCAAGTAGTCCTGTTGGTGGAATTAGAGTGTCCTCAATCTCTATATACAGTTATCTGACTATGAATGTGGAATGGCACTATACTGTATGTTGATATTGGAAATGTTTATAGTTCGTTCGTTCTCCAAGTACCATTGACCAATCATGTTTGAGCAGGTTTTGGTTAAATGCAGGTAAACAATCCGTGTGAAAAGCAAAATGGGTTGATCAAATGCGATCTGGGAACTGGGTGTAAAAGGTTACTCGTGAAACATGGATATCCTCTCTCAATTCAGGTTTTCTACACCAAAACCATTGAAATATTGGCTGTTGCCCCCAGGAGCCTTACGTTGTCAGACCAATAGCCAATTGGTTCAGAGATTGTAGTGATCGGCTTGAAAGGTCTTTGCTTTTGAAAACAGAAAGCCACATTTAAAACGTTTTCAATACATTTTAAGGTTTCCTTTTTGCATAAAGCATCCGAAACAGCGAAACCACAAGAACCCCATGACAGAGGAAAGCTTTAAAAAGATAAATTAAAAAGATAAATTACCACCGCCAATATGTGAGTTGTTTTGATGAAGCTAGTAATATACTGCTAAAGGCTGATGTAGTTTTTAATTCAGCCGGACATTGTGACACTGTGGTTGCTTGTGTGTAGAACAATGTCCAGATAAATTACAATGATGATGAAAACACTGTCACGTTATAAAGGCATTAAAGTCAGCACGTTTAGTACTGTACAAAGTTTTCCCCAAGAAGATTGGTCAGTGGTTGTTATGGGCTGAATACATGTGATTATACAATATGTCAGATAGCCACACTATGTGTTGCAGAGGGGAGGGCGGTGACGACGTCGAGGAAGATGGCTGCTTAAGTTCGTGGCTCCGGCGCCATCGCCATTTATTTTACTTAAATATCTTACTATCAGTGATACTTTTTATCTCAATCACGAGTTATTAGTCCCAATAGTCATCTGTCACATTTAGCGTGTTCACACCGGAGTACTTTTCCCACAATAGTTCATCAGAACTACGATATATTTGCGTTCACACCAAAAAGCCCCAGGAACTAAATTAGTTCATCAGAACCATTTTTACCCGCTTTTCAGTCCCTGCTAGAGAGCAGGGACTTTCGTGAGAGAAAAAGGTTCATATGTCTGATTGGCTGTGCGGAATGCAAACCACGGCCCGTAAAACTCTGAAAAAGTGTTCGTAGCCGCCATCGCATTAAAAACTCAGTGCAGCGCACCAACGAAGAGATTACTTTTGTGAAAGCAGTTATTATAGCAACACTAAATAAATCATCGGAGCAGTGGAGTGATGAGGATGTGTCGGCGCTTCTGGCGATTTACTCGGAGGACGTGATCCAGAAGCTTCTACTGCAAAATGTAGGATCGTTGTTCAGCAAAGTTAGCCGACCTGGGAACCGTCCACAGCGCAAAGTCATGCCGGGACGACGACAAAGGTAAAATAAACTACATGCACTGCACTGTTTTAATCTGCACAATACTAGTCTCAGATGTACTTTTATTTGCTCAGTAGATCGAGCTAGCCATGCTAGCTGAACTGGCTATCATAGCTCCAAGCTGGCTAACAACATCTAGCTAGCTAGCTATTCTCAGCCGCGCCCGCTATGAAAACGTTTTGACTTGTGAATAAGTGTGCAATGTTCTGTAATTTGCTTCACTAACTCATGGCACTAATCGTGGGTTTCAGGCGAGGTGTTTCTCTTTGGATTGGAAACTAGTGAGCTTTCCCCTCCGGGATAAAACGATAATATAACGTTAGCAATTAGCATGCTAGCTGGACATAATGCTACCTCTGTGGCTACACTGAATAGAGGTAAAAAATAACTTACCTGGTAGTTGCTATAATTTCATGTGTCATTTGCAACATTCATTCTACATGTTAACCTGTTAAGCCCGAGAGACCCCGGTACCGGGGCACTGCCGCAACATCTTGCAGGAAACAGTGTCTGAGGGCATGTTCATTTAATAAACTATGAATGTTTTATATCCATGTAACGGGAAGAAACTCATCTAACTGATCATTTTTTTTAAACCCCACAATGCTAACGCTGAGCCTCTGAATTAGCAACGAGCGAAAAATGCTAACAGATTACTGCACCGAAAATCACTCACAAAACCTTATTATTTATCTTTTCTCCACATCCATGACATCGTTTCACATCGTGAGGTGACACAGAATCGAAGGGTACCCTCATTATCACTCAATTATATGAAATTGCGACGTTATAAACAAAAACAGACATCAAAACATGTGGCGCTAGGTAGCTAAAAATGCTAACATGGTTACCTTGCCTCTGTAGTCTGCTCCAAAGTGGTCTTCAATGGCATTAAAACGATAAAAACGCTGCTGAAGTTAATTCATAGGTTAATCCAATGTGTCTGTGTCCCTTTCAAATGATTTCTGATAATCCATGAGCAATAAGACTGCCAATAAGACTACTTTTCCATTTCTAGATGTCAGAGCGAGAGATAGCTTCACTCTCATGCAAAACTACATGTGCAAAGCCCCCACCTTTTTGTTTTACAACGTGTGTGTGGGGGAATCCCCCTTCGATTCTACTGGCTCTAACGGTCAGAAAGAGGTGTCAACCATCAAAATCGTTTTTTTTGGCTAAACCTCTCTAAAAAGGTCAAATGTCACTTGTTTTGCATCAATCTTGATACAGGGTACTTATTATATGTTTTACTTTGGATTCCTAAAGCTTTTAGTCTACCTTACCATCATCCAAGGGTAGTTTTCACTATAAGTAAAAAATAATTTTTGGACGGACACTATCATTTACAGTTTTTTACTATGTAAAATCTGAATTTTCTTTAAAATAAAAAACATCTATATTGTTCTAACTTTTCTACATCCAACTCACAGGTTTATCATTACTTTGAGAAAAAAGATGATTAATTTAACCCTTTTAGAAGGGAAGATATGGTCATTTGTTCTGGGAATGTCATTTTCGAGCCTGAGACCTGAAAAACAGGCTCAGGGCTTAACAGGTTAATGGTAAAAGCTTAAACAGTTGATTACCTGCATGCCACAAAGATTGATGTTCTAATATTTTGCACATTTAAGTAAAAATGTAATTGAAATTCAATCTATTTTTCCTTTTCTTTATTGATTGTTATAATTTTACTCAGCCATGTTATGTTAGATGTCAATCCACTTACACTGTAACTACTCTGGCCTTGAAAGAAGGTTACGCATCGAACTGATGTCCACTAATCCCTATAAAACAAAGTTCAAGCATACATTAACACTAGAACCGCCAGAGATTTTTTATACCTAAAACCGCCACCTGGGTCAAATTGACCCGCTATTAGAATGCATTGATTTTCAAGGTAAAATGTTCTTTTATTGAACAGTGAGTTTTGATCGCACAGGGATGAAATGTATACCAATATAATCTGTGGACTCTCAGGGCTCGACATTATAAATGGCCCGCTGGCCCGGAAGCATTATTTAGACACCGCGGCCAGCATAACGTACTTTCAACTCGCCCCACAGCTGTTTGCTGCGGAGCGCAGCGCGAGCAGTCTCCCGTGAGCGGGAGCGCACTCCTTCACTACAGACTGTCTCTATCTCTCTCTCTCTCTCTCTATCTATAACTATCTATCAATATATCTATCCATCTATCTCTCTCTCTCTCTCAATCTATCTCTCAATCTATAAGGAACCGCAGTAGACAAAAGGCGTTGCTATAGCAACACGTCATGTTTATATGAAAAGGGGTGGGGTCAATATGACCCGCTTG